AAACAGTCATTGATTTCTATGAATTTAAACTTTAGAGAGAAGTGAGATATGGAAAATGTCATATAGTATGAGAAATGGTATGATATATATATAAAAGCATGATCCATAAAGAAAAAAATTGATAAAGCGAACTTTATGAACATTTAAAAAGTTTTACTCTTCAAAAGATACCATTAAGAGGCCGGGCGCGGTGGCTCACGCCTGTAATCCTAGCTCTCTAGGAGGCCGAGGCGGGCGGATTGCTCAAGGTCAAGAGTTCAAAACCAGCCTGAGCAAGAGCGAGACCCCGTCTCTACTATAAATAGAAAGAAACTAATTGGCCAACTGATATATATATAAAAAATTAGCCGGGCATGGTGACGTATGCCTGTAGTCCCAGCTACTCGGGAGGCTGAGACAGAAGGATCGCTCGAGCCCAGGAGTTTGAGGTTGCTGTGAGCTAGGCTGACGCCACGGCACTTACACTAAGGCTAGCTCACAGTGGGAAAAGATGTTTGCCAAAAAAAAAAAAAAAAAAAAGATACCATTAAGAGAATGAAAAAGCATGCCACAGACTAGGAGAAAATGTTTCAAAGATATCAAATCACTTATCTGATAAATGACTTACATCAGTATATAAAGAAATCTAGCAACTTAATGATAAGACTCCATCGAATGATCTTTGACAAGGGTTCCCAGGCCATTCAGAAGGGAAAGGACAATCTTTTTCAAGAATTGGTGCTGGGAAAACTGGATAACCACATGCAAAAAAAATGAAGTTGGATCCTTACCTTACACCATATATAAAAATTAACTCAAAATGGATTAAAAACCTAAAAAAACTATATAAAATATATGAAACATATTAAAAAAAGACCAATAAAGCATAGGGAAAAGCTTCCTGATGTTGAATTTTGTAGTGATTTCTAGGATATGACACCAAAAGTACAAGAAACAAAAGAAAAAATAGGACCTCATAAAATTAATGGACCTCATAAAATTAATCATAAAAGTGGACCTCATAAAAATTAAAACTTTTGTATATCAGAGGGCACTATCAGCAAAGTGAAAGCGAACCCACAGAATTAGAGAAGATATTTGCAAATCATATATCTGATAAGGGATTGATATTGGAACTCCTACAACTCAACAGTGAAACAAACCTAATTCTAAAATGGGAAAAGGATTTGAACAGACTTTTCTCTAAAGAACATATACAAATAGACAATAAAAGATGCTCACCATCGCTAATCATTAGGGAAATGTAAATTAAAACCACAATGAGATATCACTTCATACCCATTAGGATAGTTGTTATTAAAAAAACAGAAAACAGTGTTGGTGAAGATGTGGAGAAATTAGACCCTTTATGCATTGCCATTGGGCATATAAAATTATGTAGTGGCTGTGAAAAGCAGTATGGCATTTCTTTAAAAGGTAAACATACAGTTGCCATATGATCTAGCAGTTCAACTGCTGGGTATATGCCCAGCATACTCAAAAGAATTGAAAGCAGGGACTGGAACAGGTATTTGTACACCCATGTTCATAGCATCATTCACAATAGCCAAAAGGTAGGAACAGCCCCAGTGTTGTTCATTCATTGACAGATGAATGGGTAAATAAAATGTGACATATACATACAATGGAACATTATTTAGCCTTGAAAAGGAAGGAAATGTTGATGCATGTGGAAGCATGGATGAACCTTAAAGACCTTATACTAAGTAAAATAAGCCAGTCACTTTAAAAGGACAGTATTGTATTATTTCCTTTATATGAGGTTCCTAAAAGTATATATAAATGGCTAATAAGCACATGCAAAGATGCCCAATATCATTAGTCATTCAGGAATAAGATACCACTGCAACCCACTAGAATAACTATAATCAAAAAGACAGATAATACCAAGTGTTGGCAAGGATGTAGAGAAACTGGAGTCTTTATATGTTGCTGATGGGACTGTAAAATGTCCAGAGTTAACCATAAATTTGTGGTATGACTCAGCAGTTCCACTCCTAGGTATCCACAAAGGAGAAATGAAAACATATGTTTACACAAAGACTTTTATATGGGAATGTTTCTAGTATTACTTATAATAATCAAAAAGTGGAAACAACCCAAATGTTCATTAATTGGTGAATGGCTAAACAAAATGTGGTATAAACATACAGTGAAATACTATTCAGCAGTAAATGGAATGAAATACTAATATGTACTACAACATGGGTGAACCTGAAGATATGCTAAGAGAGGACAAACACCAAAGACTACCAGTTGTATGATATGAAATTTCTAAAAGAGGCAAATATCTAGAAATAGCAAATCAGTTGTTGTTGGGCTGGGACTTGTGAGTGGGAGTGGGGATTGACCGTAAATAGGCATGAGGGAAACTTTTAGAGTAATGAAAAAGTTCTAAAACTGGCTTGTGATGGGTGTACAACTGTCAAAATTTACTGCACACTATTTAACTGTTCTAAAAATGCTTAATGAAAAGTCTTGGAAGGTGTGCCCAAGTGTATATGAGGTATTCTGGGAAAGCATCAGCTTGGGTGGTGTGTTACAGAAGGGTTCAAGAAAGAGAATAGTATGTGAGATGACTTGTGTGAACCAATGGGAAAGAGAGCATGATTTGTTCAGGGAATCATAAAAGCCTTGTGTTTGATGCAACATGAAGTTTGAGGCTGGGACTGTCCAAAGAAAAGGTTAGGAGTGAATTTAAAGAAATACAATTCAGGCCGGGCGCGGTGGCTCACGCCTGTAATCCTAGCTCTCTGGGAGGCCGAGACGGGCGGATTGCTCAAGGTCAGGAGTTCGAAACCAGCCTGAGCAAGAGCGAGACCTCGTCTCTACTATAAATAGAAATAAATTAATTGGCCAACTAATATATATATAGAAAAAATTAGCCGGGCATGGTGGCTCATGCCTGTAGTCCCAGCTACTCGGGAGGCTGAGGCAGGAGGATTGCTTGAGCCCAGGAGTTTGAGGTTGCTGTGAGCTAGGCTGACGCCACGGCACTCACTCTAGCCTGGGCAACAAGTGAGACTCTGTCTCAAAAAAAAAAAAAAAAGAAATACAATTCAGTCTACTTATTTTATACTTCTAAGTATATGGATTCTAAGCTATTGGTAATAACCTGGCAGGATCAATGGATTATTGTAGGCTCACTCTTGGTATGCTTTTGTATTCACAAAGTTTAACACAATGTTGAAAATTATCAGAAGGAAGAATATTTAAAACTAAAACTAAATGTTTTGCTGTCCTTGAATAAAATTATGGTATTTCTAGAGTATTAAGTTCTATTTATTTTTCAAGACCTAGTTGCTGTAGGCTATTTCTGCTATATCTTATCTAATGCTTCTTCACCCCTACCCCTTGCAGGGTTTCTCCTCTGTGTCTTGCTACCTCTGTTATAGCACTTCCAGCATAATATAATCCTTTTTTCTGAAACTATAAGATCTTTACGTAAGAACTTATTTTCTTCAATTTTATAACTATAGTGTCTAGCATGATCTTTGGCACACAATGCATTGTTCACTAGTAAATTTGCTTCCAGAACTTTCAAAGAAGGACAAGCAAAGCATAGATCAAAGGGTTGGAGGGAACTGTGCAAGAGGATAGTGTACAAAACCACTGGAAAGACACAAGGTGAAAGTTATAAACTCTTAAACCAATTTGACTTTGGATTGAGATAAATAATTCCCCATCTAATTTTTGAATTCTTATGTCTACCTCACATGTCTTTCTTTCTGTTTTAGAATTTCAGAGCTGGAAAAGACCTTTAGAATTCATATAATCTAGTCTTTATTTATTTTGTGATTTTAAGCCAATTACTTAACCCTTTCTACGCCTAAATTTCCTTATCTGTAAAATGAGGAAATAATATGTACTTCATTGTTATCAAGATTAAATAATGTAATATTTATGCATTCCTCAAGTGTTCATAAAATTAATCCAGTAAGTGGCTAGAAATGACAAATTGAATGAATTATCCAAAGTTTACCACAAATGTATCGCTAAATTTGGGCTAGAATCGATGTCCTCAGTCCTAATCCAATATTTCCACGCTGGCATGGTTGGTACTTCTTTACATCCTAGTGATCATATCCCTTTTTTAGCTGCATTTCCAATTTGATGTGGGCAGGGTAACAAAATTCACAAGCTTTACTCATGCAGAACATGCTTATTAAGCATTGCACATTGCTATGCATCATGCAGTATGATAAGTGTAGGAAAACAGATGAATAATAAATGGTTTGTGTTCTGAGGGAGTTTGGTGTCTAGAAGGTAGAAGATAGACCTTCTAGAAAAATATATACATTAAATGAAATGTTAAGTGCCATGATAGACAAATGGAGATGATGTAAAGAAGATTTGAACAGCATATTATGGAAGGGGGATATCTAGGTGAGTAGGTAAACAGGTAATCACCAGGTGAAAGGAGCTGAGGGATATAAGAGTGACTGGCTTATTTTTGCCTTGGAGTTTGTTGTGGAAGATGATGTCATGGAGCATTCTGTGAAGAGACTGAAGGTATAGTTTATTAGCAGTGGAGCCAGGATGCCAGAGACTACAGTGAGATAGACTTGGTAGGGAATGAGCACAGGAAGGGAAGTGCCAGTGGATAAGAAGTATAAGAGAAGGCAATATTAATGTCTTTCCAGCTCCTTATTGTAGAGTCTAGGTAATTACATTTCAGCTCTTATGTAAAAGCCCTTTGAGATTGTTGCCATTTGACTATTATTACAATCAACTATCCATTTTGCTATAATCTGATGACTCTCCTAGATACAGTATCATTTATTAATGATTTGGGCAGTTAGACATTCTCCCATTCTTGTTTAGTCCATGAGGTTAAACTCCTCAACATCATATCCCCGAACTGGTTAACCCTAACCCTATGTGAATGTTGTATGAATATAGAAAATGATACTGGAAGATGAAGAAATTGTAATTTGGTAGTAATATGTATGCTTTTAATTTTTCTTATATTTAATGTCTTTGTGTGTGTATATGTGTAGGTTAAATGTATCTTTAGAATACAGTATGAAGAGGTCTTGTATATTCAAAGGCCTATTGAAGAAGACAGAAGAAGATTTTTCCAAGAATTGATTCTCAATCAGGCATCAATGGCTCCACCACGAAGGAAACACACTGGTAAAGTTCCTAAAGCCTTTAGGAAAATGGGGAGGGGGATGGAGTTAAGCAATGACGTTTCTTGGAGTCATTATTTTTAACCCTTTAAGACAGTTATCAGGTTTTGTTTATCTTTAGATGGACACATGTGGAAATGGCCACTGTGTTCACGTAACTTGAGGAGATTGGGAAGTATAGTCTTGTTAAAGCTTTATTAAACAGGACTTTTCCTTATCGCTACAGTCCAGATCATCTGGTAGATTTCACTTTCTATGGCTAAAAAAAGTCAAAGAAAAAAGTCTTCCGTTATGCTCTCTTTTAGTTACTTTAATCACCCAGGACTTGACCTGGCAGGTTGTCAACACCAGATGTTGTGCTGATTACTTTGTGGTCCAGGGTAGATTTGAGGAGCTAAGAGCTGGTTAGAACATTTGCCATTTCTAGGTTATTTATTGATTAATTTTTCAAATATTTATTTAGGATCCATTATGTTTGATGTTTTATGTGAGATATTTGAAAAATTATCCTGGCTTTGTTGTAAGGGTTAGGTTTTCTTGTTTGTACTCATAGATTTAAGAAGGGCCTCAAGAATTTGTCAGATTTCAGTTCCCCAATATAAGTAAGGGCTGCATTCTAAATCATTCAAAAGAGAGCTTCTTTTCCTAATCTTAAAGATGTATAAAGGATAAGATCTGCTTGCTTAATCTTTCAACCTCTTGTAGGAAGTAGCAGTCCTGTTTGGTAAAAATGTTTAAGTCTCTTTACTCTTGTTCCATCTTTTATTTTTCTCAAAGCTGTTCTTGTAGGATATTAGATACATTCCCGATCCCTACCAAGCACTTACTTTTCCATATTATTTCTCTATTTCTTTGTTTTTCATTAGTTATATTATCCAACATTTTACTAATTTTATTGTTCTTTAGTGGCTCCTTTCTAAATTTTCTTTATGATTTAAAAATGAACACCTATCAGATTGTTATAGTTATGGGTTTTTTCCTCCAAAAACTTTGGGAAATTCAGTATGTAAGTTATACTTTCTAATTATTTTGTTGCTTTCTGTCAATCTAAGTAAGTATTTCAAATATTTTTTTATGAAAGTGATTCATAAATTATATATAAATATTTTAAAATCAAATTACTTAAAATCATATTGTTTGTTTTTTAAAGGGGTCCTATTGTGAGTTATTTTATAAAGTGAAGCTATTCTAAAACTTTTGATTTCCATGCAAATTTTTACTTGTTGAATTTGCATGGTTCACATATATAGTTAGGCACTGCATACATTTCTCAGTCAATGACAGACCTAATATATGAAAGTGGTCCCTTAAGATATAATACTGTAATTTTACTGTACCTTTTCTATGTTCAAATATACAATTACTTACCATTGTGTTACAGTTGCCTACAGTATTTGGTACAAGTAATCTACTGTCTAGGTTTGTAGCCTAGGAGTAATAAACCATGCCATATAGCCTAGGTGTCTAGTAGGCCATACCTGATAGGTTTGTATTCATACAATGATGAAATTGCCTAATGATGCATTTTTCATAATACCTCCATGTCATTAACTGACACATGAATGTATTTATAATTCTTTTCTTTAAAGAACATTTTGAGAGAATGCCAGAAAAGTCACTGAGGTACTGGCCAACCATGCTGGAATCTTAACATTTTCTTCTATTTTTCTTTAGCTCTTTGTGCTATGGAAGTGCTTCCTCTTGCACTACCTTCTCCACCTCGTCAGTTATCAGAATCAGAAAAAAATCGGATGGAGGACCAGGAGGAAAATACTTTAAGAGAGTTGCGGTTGTTTCTCAGGGATGTAACCAAGAGGCTGGCCACAGATAAACGCTTTAACATCTTCAGCAAACCGGTGGATATTGAAGAGGTCTTGTTTCAGTAGTGTGCAAACAGTGAAGTTGAACTGGCTAAAAGAAAAAAATATTGACATCTTTTTTTGGAAGGAAAAAAAGCAAAGGCATGGATGAATATTACCCCTAGCCTGTAAAATTTTAATCCACGTGATAACTACCAGTGTCATCAGCAAACATCTGGTGACTTTTGGATGAAATTAGTAACCAATTTGTATATGTCCTGATCTTTGTGATCTCTTACTCTTCAATTTGAGAAGAGAATTAAAAGTTCCTTTAGTAAAATGTCCATACTAGACTATTTTTATTCCAGGATAAATCCTACACTTAAGCATATTTGTATTAACTAATCAATAGCAATTAATATTGGCATTTCCCAAATTATGTATACCTTATCAAAAGAGGTGGCTAAGAAACCTGAAATTTCTTTGTCTTTCATATTTTGGAAATGCCGGTGGTTAGGATGCTGTTTGATATCAAGCACATCCTATACAGCTAAAATTATTTTTCTCTCTAAAGATTTTCTCTGCTCCCAGTGGAAAATTTCTCACTTTCTATGTGTATTGTTTTGTGTGCTTGTGGGAGCATGGTTTGTGATCATGAAAAAAGAAATTTTCCATTTGGAATCTACTATAGTACTGTCAATTGTAGTTTTTGTTTTTGTGTCTTATCCTGGGATAATATAGTGTGTGGATGAGCACAATATGATCTTTACTGGCCTTTTTATAGTTCAGACTCCATGTTTGAACATCTTTGGTGTTTTTAGCTTTGATTTTTTTTTTTTTTTATTTCTTTAAAAAATTTGAATTATGAAATGATTCAAAGTTTCATGTCGTGTCCTAATTGTGAAATCTGTGCTTTTGGACCTGAGCAGATTCCTTTGGACCCATTACCTCATCTATGACTGAGAAGAATGAGCTAGCATTACATTTTCCCCCCTGGCAAGTCTGAAAATATCTATTCCTCCCCCACCTTTTTTTGTTGTTTGTTTGGGGATTTTTTGATTCTTTTTGATTCTTTTTTTTCCTTTTCCCCTTTTTTGGAATAAAGGGACTATCTATAATTTTATTTGTATATTTGTCCACAATATATAGTTTTTTCCATTTGATCCTCTCAGCAACTTTGCAAGGATCATTATTTTTCTTATTTTGCAGCTGAGGAAACAGAGGCTTACTGGAAAATAACACAGCCAAGACTTGAAAGTTTTTTTTTATATTCAAAGCCCACCTTCTTTACATCATAACTACCTCATATCTTTTCTTACTGGGATAACAAGATATGTCTAATTTGCTTTTCTAATTAATAAATATCACTTTTTATTTGTGGAGCATTTTTCCCATTCATAGTACTTTTAGATAATTTTAAAACTGTCAGCCAATTTAAGAAACAGTTTTAAGTGTGTGTACGTATGTGTGTGTGTCTTAATGTCCCATTTGATACGTTTGGATTATGACACTTAAAGGATAAGTACTTGCCCCCAACTCAACTTCTCATTGCTGGGAGTAAACCAATTGTGCTTTTGCTCAGGAATAACTCTTTTTCTTTCTAACCAGAAAAGATTGTCAGATTTCAAATGCCATCTGTAATACAATATAAGTCTTATAAATGATGGTAAGGCGGTGGAAGGGATAGAGAATGTTGGTCACATAAAAATTTTAGGCTGAGCACAGTGGATCATGCCTGTAATCCTATCACTTCGAGAGACAGGAGGATCATTTGAGGCCAGGAGTTTGAGACCAGCCTGAGCAACTTAGTGAGACCCTATCTCTACAAAAAATAGAAAAATTGGCCAAGTGTGGTGGCACACACCTGCAGTTCCAGATACTCAGAAGGCAGAGACAGGAGGATTGCTTGACCCCAGGAATTTGAGGTTACAGTGAGCTTTGAACATACCACTGCCTTCTAGCCTGAGTGTCAGAGCAAGACCCTGTCTCAATCAAAAAAAAAATTTTTTTTTTTTAAATTTAAGGCTTATATTTCTCTTGTTTTCTCCTTTGTCCATTCTTTTCAGGTTAATTCTGCTGCTGGTGTTGTCTGCTCTTAAAGCTGAAAACATGGGAGTCTCTGGGAAGGATAGAGGAGGAAAACAAGATAAATTTGGATAACATAAAGCATAGAAGTTTTTATTCAGATAATGAATTCAAAGTATCTAAAAATTTTATCAAATTCCAAAGCATACTGCAGAGAAAACAAAATTTCAGAAAATTGGCTAGTTGTGGTGGTTCATGCCTGTAACCAGCCTGAGCAAGAGCCAGATCCCATCTCTACCAAAAATAGAAAAAGTTAGCCAGACGTGGTGGTGTGTGCCTGTAGTCCCAGCTACTTTGGAGGCTGAGGCAGGAAGATCACTTCAGTTCACAAGTTTGAGGTTGTGTTGATGTGATGATGCCACTGTACTCTATCCGAAACAACAGAGGAAGACTTTTGTCTCCAAAGAAAAAAGAAATTCAGAAAAATAAACATTGAATTTAAAATTAAGCATAGGTGCTAAAATTGTAATCTTTACTAATATAAATTTTTATAGTGCTTTGTAGTTTACAAAACCATTTCCACTTGTACACTGGGCATGGCAAATGCCAGACCCAATAATCCAGCTAATATCTTCTAACTATGGCTTGTTTCTATGAAGCTCCATTACCTCCCCTATATGGAAATTAATTGGCTTTTGAGCTCTTAGAGGCTGAAAAACAGATTAAAGCTCACATACACCCCTACCTAATATTTTTATAAGTAATATTAAAATTTTAAAAACATACATATAAATTACATATTTGCACATGTGTGTGTGTATATATAAATTTTGAAATCATGGCATCGATGTCATCTGGAACTACAAGAAAACTAACCTGACTTTCATGGAGCAGAAATTACCCTACCCCCAGGAAATCATTCCTGGACTAATTTTAGACATTACTGCTAAAACTGCTTTTATATCAAACTTGATTACTTGATTTGAGATTTGCATTGGGGAAGACAATAGATAAATAGGTTGTTTGCTCTTTCTTATTGGTCAGTGATATACAATTTATTGGTCAAATCATGACTTAATATCTCCTCTTTTGAGTTATTGCCCATAAAAATCAGCACATAGAGCAGTATGTTTTTTGTTTGTTTGTATGTATATTTGTTTATATTTAATGACAATCCAGCAAATCTTTTATTAGTTCTAAAGTGGAACTTAGTTTCATTATATAATTGACTCAAAATGTTTGTAATGACTCCAAAGGAGTGGAAAATACTTTCCATGAAATAATTCACCCTAGCAAACTGAAAAAGAAAGAATTTTTTTGTTGAAAATTTTAGAGATTTACCAGAAGCTCTCTAATATAAAGCCTATGCTTTCTATTTTCCTTTTTTTCTCTTTCTCTTTCTTTTCTTGAAGTAACATTTATTGATGCTTATTGGGTGCTTTTGCCTATACATCCTTTTCTCAGATATGCCCGAAGGATTATTTTAAAAAAAGGTGACCTGGTTTCAAATTTCAAGAATAGATTTAGATACAACTTGGAAACTGAAACTTTTCATGGAAAGTATGATAGTAACTTTAGTAGCATAAATAGCTCTGTAATTTTATCCTTATCTATAATTATTTCTTAAATATCTAGATTTAGTTTTTAAAGAACTCTGTTTTTATTTTGTGTTTTTATGAACTGAGTAGATCATATAAAAAATGAGAAGTAATTTTTATTAAAATATCCTGTTTGTTTTAGGTTTCAGATTATCTTGAAGTTATCAAGGAACCAATGGATTTATCAACAGTAATAACTAAAATTGATAAACACAATTACCTGACTGCTAAGGATTTCCTGAGAGATATTGACCTCATCTGTAGCAATGCATTAGAGTACAATCCAGATAAGGACCCAGGAGGTAAGGATGCATAGGGCAAGGTTCACTTCGATAATCAAAGAGAAAATAGGTTACAGTTTAAATACTAAATCTTGGCTGTGTTTTAGATAAATTAATTTTCATGACCTATTATTCTTTTTAGGAACTTCTTGATGAGGAACTAATAGTCTACTTAAAAATAATGTGCTTAAATTAGAGGATTCTGTAGTTGTTGGTATTAAGTTCAGAGTTTAGTTTCTTCATTTACTTTCTACTTTTTATACTTAGGTTATGATTTTATTCAGATTGATGGAAAACTGAGTCATTGAGAATTTAACTTAAAATTTATTTAGTCAACAATAGCAGTGCTGATAAACATGGGGAGTTTTGAATTTGTGGGAATCCATGAAGGGTATTTCTACATATCAAAAGACCTCTTTATGTAGAATGTGATCTTTCTGTTGATTGTATTTTTATGTGTTATTTTACTCTTAATCTACCCTGTACTTAAATGTGTAGTTCCATTTCTTGTCACCACCCTCCAGGGAAGACAACTAGGAACATAATCTTAGTAAAACGAGATGAGTTTATTGATTTATTATACTGAGGGCAGAATGTTCATCATAGGGAACTATATAGGATTTGGGGGTTGTGTTAAGTGATTTTGGGTAGAGTGTAAGGAAGTGGGGCTTTGAGTGGATTGGATGCTGTTTAGAGAGTGGTACTAACTTTGAGATTAGGCATTTTAAGAACCTAGAGGCAAGGCCGGGCGCGGTGGCTCACGCCTGTAATCCTAGCTCTTGGGAGGCCGAGGCGGGCGGATTGCTCAAGGTCAGGAGTTCAAAACCAGCCTGAGCAAGAGTGAGACCCCGTCTCTACTATAAATAGAAATAAATTAATTGGCCAACTGATATATATATAAAAAATTAGCCGGGCATGGTGGCTCATGCCTGTAGTCCCAGCTGCTCAGGAGGCTGAGGCAGAAGGATCCCTCGAGCCTAGGAGTTTGAGGTTGCTGTGAGCTAGGCTGACGCCACGGCACTCACTCTAGCCTGGACAACAAAGTGAGACTCTGTCTCAAAAAAAAAAAAAAAAAAAAAAAAAAGAACCTAGAGGCAAGAAGAATGGAGCAAAGCTTAAAGCTGTGATTGGTAAAGAAACAGTAGTTATTCATATTAGCTAGGATAGGATTATGTTTGGTTATTTTTGTTGTTAGGATAATGTTCATTTTTTTGTTTGTGTTTAGACATGATTTCAGAGTGGTCTTGTTTTTCTCTTGACTCATCATGGACACAGAGTGACCTTGGTTAATGTTGGTGTTCTGTGAAATTGCTTATGTTTAACGTAGCATACCGGGGCCTAGCCAATAGTGCTGGGCCAGCTCCCAGCTGTCAGGAGCCATTTTTCTCTTTCTCACTCTATTGAGAATTCTATTTCTTTAGTAGGTACTACTCAAAATAAAAAATGCTTCTTGTTTTTAAAACATTTGTTCAAGTTTCTGTTACTTAAAGATATTTAGAGTATAGTTTGTGCTTTGTATCTGTATTTTTTGGACAGTGGCTCTCAACCCAGACTACATGGTAAAATGACCTGGATTTCTCCATTACACATGAAATGATGTATTTCTTTCCTGAATTTAGACTGTAGTAAATCTACAGTATAAAATTTTTGCATAGCTGTGCTTGGTATCTAACAGTTCTTCAGCTTTGTGTTAGGATATTTGCCTTTTATAGTTTTTGTTGTTTGTTTACTTCTTTTTGAGTTTTTATTATATATGTTTTATAGAAAAATCTATGAAAATAGAACAAAGAATATTAAAATAATCTGTAATCCCATTGCTGTTATCTCTCTCCCCAACATAGTTGTCTTGTATGTAGAATATATACATGCATCTTATTTTTACTAAATTAAATATGACTTTTGTAAATTTTGTCATTCCTGTAATATTTTTTGCAAAGCTTATTAATTAGTGAATATATTTCTGCCATATTATTTCAATCATATATAGAAATAATAGCTAATACCTTATTGTTGGACATATTCTATTTTTTAGTTTTTTTCCTCTGTTATAAATACTGATAAATATCTTTATGATGCAAATTTTATGTAGATCTTTAATTATTTCCTTAGAATAAATTCTTTAAAGTGAAATTTCTGGATCAAAGAATGTGTATTTTTTAAGGCTTTTAATCTGTATTATTAAAATTTTGTGTTAAATACGCCAGCAGCATCAGGGCCACTGTTAAGTCAGTATAGCACTTTTGTGTGAGTGAGAGAATCTCCTTCTTTAATTGGTTGCTATCCTGCAACAGGATGAGTAGTGAAGTATGAGCTGGATATCAGCTTTGTTTCACTCGCTTTCCTTTCCTACACCCTTAGCCTATTTTTCAAGGCACAGAGACCAATGATATTGTATAGTATGTAATGAGAACATGGGCTTTGCTTTTAGACCTAGGCTTTAGTCTCTGTTCTGCCATTTCCTAGTTCTTTCACTTTGATCAAGTTAAGCCTTCTAAATTTTAGTTTCCTCATCTGTAAAACATGGATAATGATAGTATTCTTTAATTGGGGTGGTTGTAAGGATTAAATGATAAAGTGTATTAAGTTGAATCTTACGAAATCGCCATTTGGATATTGTTCAACCTAAATACGTTAATCTCGGGGACTGGGGTGGCTGGGCGGCTAAAACAACAGAAATTTATTCTGGAAGCTATCAGTTCAAGATGAAGGTGTCATCAGCTTTGGTTTCTTCTGAAACCTTTTTTCTTGGTTTGTAGATGGCTCTTTCTCCCTATGTCCTTTCGCAGCCTTTTCTCTATGCTTGTATGCCCCTAGTTTCTCTTGATGTGTCCAGATTTTCTCTTCTTATATATAAGGACATCACATATGATTATGGAAGCTTAGAGGTAAAAGAGAATATATGTATATATTAAAAAAATAAGGATGTCACTTATAAGTGGAACATGATAAGTGTTCCATAAAGGTTAGATGTTGATATTTTTATTTTTGTTATCATTATTTAAATGCTTTAATTTTTCATAAATTGGTTCCTTTGTGGGTTCCTGTCACTTTACACTTTGTGTTTATTATATTCCCTGGACCATACTTTAATCCTATTTTGAAACAAATATAGGAACATTTTTTTTTTTTTTTGAGACAGAGTCTCATTCTGTTGCCCAGCTAGAATGCTGTGGTGTCAGCCTAGTTCACAGCAACCTCAAACTCCTGGGCTTAAGCAATCCTCCTGCCTCAGACTACCAACTAGCTGGGACTATAGGCATGTGCCACCATGTCTGGCTAATTACATATATGTGTGTGTGTATATATGTATGTATGTGTGTGTGTGAGTGTGTGTATATATATATATATATATATTTATTTTAGTTGTTCAGCTGATTTCTTTCTATTTTTTTAGTAAAGACAGGGTCTGGAACTTCTGAGCTCAAACAATCCTCCTGCTTTGGCCTCCCAGAGTGCTGTGATTATAGGTGTGAGCTACCACACCTGGCCAAATATAGGGACTTATAGTGAAAATGAATTTAAGTGCTAAGAGAAAGCCTTTTGAGAAGATCAATTCATATTTCTTCCCCATTAAGTAATTAATTATAAGCACCTTGATATCAATATTACTTTTAAGGAGCAGTGTTTTCTGGTGTATAATAACCATTTATTACAAAATGCAATTTAATAATCAAAGAATATGGCTCTATCTCACAGCTGAAGTTAACATGGTACACTTGTAACTTTCCTCTTTCTTTTTTTTTTTTTTTTGAGACAGAGTCTCACTTTGTTGTCCAGGCTAGAGTGAGTGCCGTGGCGTCAGCCTAGCTCACAGCAACCTCAAACTCCTGGACTTGAGTGATCCTTCTGCCTCAGCCTCCCGAGTAGCTGGGACTACAGGCATGCGCCACCATGCCCGGCTAATTTTTTATATATATATCAGTTGGCCAATTAATTTCTTTCTATTTATAGTAGAGACGGGGTCTCGCTCTTGCTCAGGCTGGTTTTGAACTCCTGACCTTGAGCAATCCGCCCGCCTCGGCCTCCCAAGAGCTAGGATTACAGGTGTGAGCCACAGCGCCCGGCCCTCTTTCTTTTTTTTGAGACAAAGTCTTGCTCTGCCAGGCTAAAGAGATCCTCCTCCCTCAGCCTCCTGAGTAGCTGGGACTACAGGCATGCACCACTACACCAGGCTAATTTTTGGATTTTTTGTAGATACAGATTCTCAGTCAGGCTGGTCTAGAACTTCTGGCTTCAAGGTATTCTCCTACCTCTGCCTCTCTAAGTGCTAGGATTACAGGCCTGAGCCACTGCCCGGCCCACTCTTTTAGATATACAAAAAGTGATACAATTCAAAGGTATTATTTTGATTGTGTTTAGATTTTTTTCTTTATCAAGCAGTCTGTTTTTTTCTTAGCAACAGAACCACTTGTTATAATATGTTCCAGAAAAACAACCTGAGGGTGTATAGTGTAGCAAGTGGAATGTTGTATGAATGTTGTATTACTTTTACAAGCTCCCATGAGTATTTGAAAGCTTACAGTGTTATGTTTTTCAGAGCACTTGGCCATTTGGAATAAAAACTAACATATACAAAGGAGATGGAAGCCAACATTTTGAGAGCTATACATGTTGCCTAAGTGTTTATCCAGATTCTCTTTTTTAAGGATGTTGTGGACACAAATAAAATATGGAATAAGAACATATTTAATTCCTAGGTTCTAAATGTGACCAGTATCAGATATTTGGCCATAATTATTTTATAGATATATGTTATATTGACAGTCCCTCATTTTTGGTCTTGCCATATATCCCTCCCATATCTCTCATGCCTATTTGTATACATACCATCATTTGACTAATTTTGCTGAAATTTCAACCCAAATCTTCTAGTCTTCTTAAAATCTTCTATTTTGTACTGATTGTGTAGAATCGATTGATCCTAGCTTTTGGAGCCCTCTGTGTTTTGCTCTTAATACCCTTCTAACTTAATTTGCATGGTTGTATTTCAAAAGTTCTGTGAGTAAACCATACTTATTCATATTTTTATTAGTACCATGTGCTGATTAGTGAGCTGGGTACCTAGACTATAAAAATAATTATGATGATAGTCCTTGAATTTTAAGACTGAGATATATGTCAGTATTATGATAGATCAGTAATGTATACTGGATAACTACTATGTTGCAAACATTATTCTGTATGTAATTGTATTAGATTACTAGGACTGCTGTAATAAAATATGACACACTGGGTGGCTGAAACAACTGAAATTTATTCTGGAAGCTATCAGTTCAAGATGAAGGTGTCATCAGTTTTGGTTTCTCCTGAAACCCTTTTTCTTGGTTTGTAGATGGCTCTTTCTCCCTATGTCCTTTCGCAGCCTTTTCTCTATGCTTGTATGCCCCTAGTTTCTCTTGATGTGTCCAGATTTTCTCTTCTTATAAGGATATCAGTCAGATTGGATTAAAGCCCAATCATATGACCTCATTTTATCTTAATTATCTTTTTAAAGGCACCATCTCCAAATACAGTCACATTCTGAGGTACTGGGGCTTAGGGCTTTGACATGTGAATTTTGAGTGACACAATTCAACCCATAGCAGTTACATATAAAACACAATCCCTACTATCTAGATAGTCAGTGATTTTTTTTTAAGAGATGACAGGTATACCTATCAATTAATTATTGGTGATTATAAAAACAAAGAGATGATTATGATAAAGGGATATAGAGGTGGCAATAAGGAATAATGCCTTGATGTGGCAGCAGGTAATTATAATGCAGTATCTTAAGGTCTGTTTTAGAAATATGTATACAGGGTCAGTGGAACACAGAGGAGAAGACACTATCTGGAGATGAGCAAGATTTGGAAGGACATTCATTTCAGATTGAAGGAAGTAGTAGGGTATAAAGGTATGAGAAAAGCATGTCTGGAGAATAGAGTGTCTCTGTTGAGGGGTAGGGAAAAATAAGTTTGCTTCCCTACTCATTGACTCACCGTTTACTGAGCATCCATTTATTAAATATTCTCTGTGTGTACAATCATCCTGTTCAAGGCTAGAGAATACAGATGATTAAGATACAGCCCTGACCTTTTAGTATGAAGTTTTAGGTAGCAGTCAAGGGAGTGGTGGGATGGATGTTGTGAGACCAGTTAAGATTTAGTTGCAATGTGGTCAGACGCAGTGGCTCACACCTGTAATCCCAACACTCTGGGAGGCTGAGATGGGAGGATTGCTTGAGGTCAAGAGTTCAAGACCAGCCTGAGCAAGAGTGAGACCCTGTCTCTGCTAAAAATAGAAAAAAAAAGTCAGCCAGGAATGGTGGCAAGTGCCTGTAGTCCCATCTAGTTGGGAGGCTGAGGCAGGAGGATCACTTGAACCCAGGAGTTTGAGGTTTCTGTTAGCTGGGCTGATGCCATGGCACTCTATCTAGCCAGGGCAACAGAGCAAGACTTGGTCTCAAGGGAAAATAAGAAAGATGCAGTGGCTGCAGAGATTGAATATACAGGTCTTAGTGACATCATATTGTCTAGGTAGAAATCCTATGGAATCTACAAAGATGCTATTAGAACATGTAAGTGATTTAGCATGGTTGCAGGAGACAATAGAAACACACAAAACTCAATTGTATTTCTATATACTAGCAACAAACAGGAAATTGAAATAAAAATACTATTTACAGTAGCATCAAAAAACATAAATTTGACAAAAGATATATAAGACTTGTACATTGAAAACTGTAAAACATTGGTAAGAAAAATTAAAGACCTAAAAAATGAAGACATACTGTGTTTATGGTTTGGAAGACTCAACATTGTGAAGATGTCATTTCTCTCCAAATCAGACCATAGATTCAACACCAAACAATCAAAATTCCAGTAGGCATTTGATAGAAATTGACATGCTGATTCTGAAATTCATGTGAAAATAAGATAACCTAGAATAATCCAAACAACTTTGAAAAATAATAAACCGAAAACTTCGGGAGGAATTAATACCACCTTATTTCAAGACTTAAAAAGTTACAGTAATCTAGACAGTATAGTATTGGCATAAAGATTGACAGATAGGTCAGTGGAATAGAAGGGAGTCCTGAGGTTGGGTGTGGTGTCTCACACCTGTAATCCTAGTATTTTGGGAGGCTGAGGTGGGAGGATTGCTTGAGGCCAGGAGTTCAAGACCAGGCTGAGTAAGAGAGATGGCATATCTACAAAAAATAGATAAATTAGCCAGGCATGGTAGCTCATGCCTGTAGTCCTAGCTACATGGGAGGCTGAGGCAGGAGGATCACTTGAGCCCAGCAGTTTGAGGTTGTAGCAAGCTATGATGAGGCCACTGCACTCCAACCTAGATGACAGAGTGAGACCCTGTATCAAAAACAAAACAAAACAAAAGAATAGAGTCCTGAAGTGGATGCACACATAGAGGGTCAAGTGTTTTTCTATGAAGGTATAAAGACAATTCACTGGAGAAAGCATAGTCTTTTCAACAGTGCTGGAACAATTGGATATCAGTATAGAAAAAAAAACCAATTTAGAGGATGGGTATAAGAGTCGAAGATACTTCACCAAAGGTGATATATGGAAGGCAAATAAGCACGAGTAAAGATACTCAGCCTCATTTATCTTTAGTGAAATGCCAATTAAAACCACAATGAGATACCACTCAACACCTATAAGAATTGTCTAAAATTAAAAAGACTGACCATATCAAATGTTTGCAAAGTTGAGAGGAACTGGAACTATGATGCATTGCTGGTAGGAATATAACATGGTACAACATGCTTTGGAAAACAGTCTGGCAGTTTCTTAAAATAATAAACATATGTACCATGTTTCCCTGAAAATAAGACAGGGTCTTATATTTATTTTTCCTCAAGAAGACACCCTAGGGCTTATTTTGAGGGGATGTGTTATTTTTTTTAAGTATGGTACAATAATCTACATTTATTTAAATATAGTTAGGTCGTCGTCTTCTGGAATATCATCATAACTCTCCAAACCCCGAATTCCATCCTGAATTTCTTGTGACTCTATTTCCTTTAGGGCCATTGGCTCCAACCTCTCATGTTGAGCAATAGAGCTCTCATGGGGCAGATGAGAAAGGCTGCTTGTCTTCTTTGCCGCTCCGCCATGAAATGCATGGGTTGTGCAGATACGCTGCATAGCCACGCCCATCACTAGGTCTTATTTTCGGGAAACACGGTAGTGTCTCTCTGTATCCATGGATGTGAACCCATGAATACAAAGGGAGGGCCCATTGTACAACTTCTTTTATATAAGGGACATGAGCATCCGAGGACTTAGTATTGAAGGGGGAATGGGGTCTGTAGTTCCAGTTGTGCAGGAGGCTTGCTTGAGCTCAGGGGTTTGAGGTTGCAGTGAGCTGCGATCATGCCACTGCTCTCCAACTTGGACAACCCTATCTCATAAATAATAAATAACTAGATAGATAGATAGTAAATGCTTGCTAGCTAGCTAGCTTTGTGATTATGTGAAGATGTAAATTTGAATCATGTTACTTTCCTGCTCATATCTTTTCAATGACTTTCATTGCTCTTAGGATAAAATCTAAAATCCTGAGATCTGGTTCCTGTTTGCCTCTGGCTTGTTATGTTCTGACCACACAGTCTACATTTCAGGTTCTTGAAATCACCAAGGTCTTTTTACTCTAGGATATTCTCACATGATATTTTCTGGACCTGCCCTGGTTTTCCCCTATTCTTTCAGTGGCTTCTTACTCCAATGCATGCTTCAGTTGTCAGCGTAAATGCCTCTTCTTCAGAGAGGCTTTTCCTGACTTGCCCAATCTAAATTCGCACCCACATCAATACCCTGTAGGTTTTCTTTATAGCTGTTGTTCAGGGTTTTTTATTGTGTTCTGTTTTATTGTTTTTAAAATATGTATGTATGAGAGATTATTTATGTAATAGCACTTTTGTATAGTAGCCTGAAAAACTCCTTGAAAATTGGGAGTATGCCTATTTTGTTTACCACTGTGTAGCCACCATCTGGCTTTTCCTGGTATAGTTAACAATCAGTATTCGTTGTATGAATTTTTAGGGAAAATATATTAGAAGCAAATATATCAGTGGTTGCCTTTGAATGGTACATGTTTGGTTTTGTAAGATTTCCACAAAGTCCCACAGAGTTTTAAATAAAAGGCCTCTGTATCTTTGTCTATACTTTGGGCCTTTACTAGAGAGGAAAAAGCAAATGTTACTTTGTGACTTTGGATTCTTGTTATTTATACTGTATAAAACAAGGTACCGTGATATATTAATATTTACTTGCCTCGTAATATCTCTGAGTTGCACAGCTCTTGGGGGCACTTTTACATTATATTACATTATGAATGGGGACTTCTGGATTAGTGTGAAGCAGAGACTTTTCTTTTAGTACCATTTTTAGGTATAGTTTATCTACAACTGTGTTTGTACTTTTCTCCTGATCCACCTACAATTTATATGCTATCTTGCGTTCATTATCTTAGAAAGTCTTTCTGTATTTCTGTGTTTTTGTCACATTTTTAAATAGGTTACTTAGGATATATATATGTATTTATTTTTTTTGTATTCTTTAGCATAGTTTCGACCAGTATTAACTTACGGAGAAGTTTAAGATTTTCTGAATTCTCAATATTCATATCTATGGCAACTCTGGGGCTGGGCATATGATGAATCCATTTTAGTTTTTTATTGAAAATCATGTTTCTGTTTTCAAAAATTTAAAATAAAACCATATATCTTCAAGGTAATGATTTAATAGGCTTATTACTTTGAGGTTCTTAAAGTAAAATTTTCAAAGAAATACTAAAGTAGCTTATTATATATTACTTATCCGAACATTTTCTCACCTAGAAATGCTTTTTATAATTTTATTTAAATGTTTCTATTCTTTTACTTCTCTTTTTAAGGTGTCCTTTGTTAATGTTATTTCTTTTGTATCTATAATAAATTTATACCAACTTTTTTAACAGATAAAATCATTAGGCACAGGGCTTGTACCCTGAAGGACACAGCGCATGCTATTATTGCAGCTGAATTGGATCCGGAATTTAATAAACTCTGTGAAGAAATTAAGGAAGCAAGAATAAAAAGAGGTAACTTGTAGCGATGAACTTGCTGCCCTCTTCAGACAGTCATTAATTGATGTTTCTTTAGGGTTGTTGGTATTATGAAAATAATGTTAATATATTTTGAGGTACAACATTTAGTTCAATTCTAATACTAATGTGTCATGTAATACTAATATGTGTCATGTAAATTCTCAAAAATATTTTAAAACTTTACCTTCTGTGAAAGGTTTAGTGTGGTAGCATATATTACAGAAATAAAGTATTTCTTAGTGAAATTTTTTTGTAGGAATATATCTTTTTTAATCATAGATTTCTATTCTTACGGATTTAGATATCTAATGTCTTTTCATATCTGAAAAGGTTTTATTTTTCATCAGTTTACGTCCAATACTGTACTTTTGAAAAGTACTTAGAAATAAAAGTACTTAGGAATCCCTTTCTTATGGAAGTTTATATGCAATTTTGGTTTTAGAAACACAGAATTAGCAAATGTGGTTTGTTGATTCAATTTATAATTCTGTCCTTGAGAAACTTACATGTTAGTAGGAAAGAGAGAACTATAAAACAAATCAGGTACAGTGTGATATATGCACTGGTTGAAGCATGCTCAGAGAACAGAAAAGAGAGACCTCTTGGTAGGGAACCCAGCATTTTGATCAGAGTTTAAGGAATGAATGTAGGAGCCTTCTCTAGTGCACTAGGAGAAGGGAGTCCATGAGTGACAGACTAAGAGGAAGTATTGCCAACAGAGCAAACAATAGCATGTATTACGGCACAGAGGTGTGAAATAGTTTGGTGATTAGAAGAACTTTGAACTGTTTGGTATTGCTAAAGATATATATATAGCATGGTGGGAAATAGGGCTCAAGAGGTGATCCCTCCTTAAAGAGCCATTCTCTGACCACCTAATCTAATATAGGTTCTTATAGGACTGGTATTATGTTGTTTGTTTCTTTGTTGTCTCTGTCGTCCTTACTTAGGATATAAGCACGTTGAATGTCTTGTTTATATTATACCTCTACTTCAGTCCTAAGAATGTGTCTGGTATACAACTGGTTTTTTAAATAATTTTTTGAGCCATAGTCTCGCTGTGTTGCCCAGGCTAGAGTGCCATGGCCTTAGCCTAGCTCACAGCAACCTCAAACTCCTGGGCTCAAGCAATCCTACTGCCTCAGCCTCCCAAGTAGCTAGGACTACAGGCATGAGCCACCATGCCCGGCTAATTTTTTCTATATATATTTTAGTTGTCCAGCTAATTTATTTCTATTTTTAGTAGAGACGGGGTCTCACTCTTGCTCAGGCTGGTTTTGAACTCCTGAGCTCAAAGGATCCTCCCGCCTCGGCCTCCCAGAGTGCTAGGATTACAGGTGTGAGCCAACTGTAATCCCAGCCTCTGACAGGTTTTCAATAAATATTTGAATGAATCAATGTCATGCTGAGGAGCTTGGACTTTACCCTGTAGGCCAGTGTTTTTCAAACTGCATGTGCCTATTACCCATATCAACTTAGACCTAGTGAATTAGATTCTCTAAGGATATTGAGGCCAAGAAATCTGCATTTTAACAAACTATTCAAATGATTTTTATGTATGCTAAGGTGTGTACACCATTGCCCTAGGCAGTTGGAATCATTAAAAGATTTTAAGTAGTGAGATGAACTTGGTCAAGTTGCTTTGGCAGCAAGAAATAGCATGGTGTCAATGTGCAGGGTAGGAAGATGAGAGATCAGTTTAAAAGTTGTTGGAGCCAATTTGGAAAACAGTTTGGCAGTTTCTAAAAAGTTAAACATAGACTTACTGCACAACTCAGTGATTCTACTCTTAGGAATCTACCCAAGAGAAATGAAAATATATGCCCACATAAAGACTTTCGCATGAATATTCATTAGAGCATTATTCATAATAACCACAAACTGGAAACAACTCAAATGTCCATCAACTGGTGAATGGGTAAGGAAAACATAGGATATCCATACAATGGTATACTACTTAGCAACAAGAAGGAACAAAGTACTGATACACAGTATAACATGGATGAACTTCATAAATATTACGCTAGGTGAAAGAAGCCAATCACAGAAAACCACACATACAATTCTTTTATGTGAAATACCCAGAAAAGGCAAGTCTATAGAGACAATAAGTGGAGTAGTGGTTGCCTGGGACAGTCATCTAAAATTACGTTGCTGTGGTGATTGCATAGCTCTGTACACTTATTAAAAATTATTTATTGTACACTTAAAACAGGTGATTTTTATGTTATATAAGTTGTATCTCAGTGAAGCTGCTGGGAACAAAAAGCTGTTGAATAGTCCAGGGATTCTAATTAATGAAGTAGGAATGGAGGTAGAAAAGATTAATGTATGTGAGATGTAGCTGCAGGCATGGTGAGCACTGTGAAGGGAAGGATGAGTTGAAGTTGGCTGCCACATTGCTGGTGAACTGACTTACGTATGCTAGCACCACCAGTCTAGATAGGGAATATGTAAGGATGAATTGTTTTGTTTTCTTGGGAAAAATAAACCAGTTATCTTTAATTTGACCTATCTTTAGGGTATCCAGTCAGAGATATCAAGGAAGCACTTAGATGTATGGGTTAGAAGGCAAGAGATGTCTGGGCTAATATACAGATTTGAGAATTATTATATAATGGTATTGGAGGCTAGACACAACACTACTTTGTGGGGGAAGGTATAGATTAGAGTAAGAAAAAAAGAGATGACAGAGGGAACTCAGAGAAACACCAACATTAAATTAAGGACCACATAGGAGAAAGAAACCTAGTGAAGAAAATTGAGATGGAATGATTACTCTTAGGAAGGTAATATAAGAAAACTAAATATACTGCAATGTGGTGTGACAGGCAGCAAATATTTTGAAATAGTTCATGGGAATAGGCCCAGTAAACACTGTACATTCTAAGATGGCAGAGATTATGACTTTTAGGCAATATATAATCTTACTGTCTCACAGTCATAATAATGTGAAGTGTGTCCGTTTGTGAATTAAAATGAATAAAAATAGGGCCCCTTTGGGGATTAAGTGTAGGCATGGACTGCCAGGAGGTTTTATTTTTATGATTTTATATCTAATTTCTTTCCCATCTTAAAACAAAAGACACTATTTCCATCAGAATTACAAACTGCCCAAGTATAATTAATGACTTTAAAACTCAGTTTTGTATTTCAGACTTTTTTTTTAACCTTATTGGTTTATGTAGCTGGGAATATTTAAATAGGTATTGCTTATCTTCTGCTTGCAGGCTTATCGGTAACAGCAGAACAAATAAATCCTCATGGTGCTGGAGCTCGGAAGACAGAAACTAGAGTTGAAGAGGCATTTCGGCACAAACAAAGAAATCCAGTGGATGTCTGGCACAACTCTGCAAATAAATGTGCATGTGAGTATTTGAGATCATGTTATCCAGTAGTGGGAACAACGGAGAATGATGCAGATATGTTAGGATTTGGGTACAAACTGAAGTGCTACTGTTTTCCCACAGTTCTTTTCATCTCTTTTCAGAGGTAAGATGCTGAATCAGAAATATATATCTTTAACCTTATTTGCTGTTTTCTATCCTTTTTCAGTACTCAGTATTGTAATTGAACTAGGTGTGAATGTTTTCAGTTTTAAACTTTGTTTTTTGGATAGAGCCAATAGGATTGTTATTTTTCCCTGTCCTCATCCGCCACCCCTTGTATGCTATATAGGATGTTCTCTTTATAGTGGGAAATGCAGACTCCAGCATATGGGAGTGGATGATATGGTGGTAGGAAGCTGATTTTTCTGAGAATATTTTGAGCTCAGTTAGAAAAGTTTGCACAGCCTTCTTTCTTTGTTTTGTAAGATGTATTTAAAGGGAAAATTCATGTCTTAGATTTTCTTAATGTCACTCACTCCTGTTGATCTATAAAATTTCTAAAAGACAAATGTTAATAAATACAACATCCTCCTAATATAGTTCTTCTGTTTCACTAAAGATAGCCTTCCTTGGAAGATAGATGCTGTTCTTCTGGTATAAAGGTGATAATACAGGTTCAGTGTCACTTATCCGAAATGCTTGGGACTCAGAAGTATTTCAGATTTTGGAATATTGGCAATATACATACTAGTTCAGTATCACAAATCCAAACTCCAAAATGCTCCAGTGAGCATTTCCTTTGAGCATCATGTCGGTGCTCAAAAAGTTTTGGATTTTGAATACTCAACCTATATTACCTTGTCAATAAAGCTGGCCTTAATATGTTCTTTCATCAATGGCATTGAATTTGAATAAAGCAGCCTTACCCACTTTTTTTCCCTAGCGTGTCCTCTTTCAATAAGTGGCATTCATATATGAGACAGTTTGAGAAAGGACTTAATAGTGTATTTGGTTGCCATGAAACTGAGTAATGCTATTTGGCCTAGTTGTATCTCAGATTATTACTTGGATTGTGTAACATAGCACTCTAGTTTAAAACTTGAAATCCTTTACATTCTCTGCACCTGTTAAAAATATTTACTAATGAAAAGACATTGAATATTCACTTTAAGAAGCTTTAAGTATCTTTAAGTATTAAAAATATTCTTTGAATCTACAATTCAATTCAATCTACAATTCTTTGAATCCACAATTGTGAGTTTTGTTTTCTCTTACCAGTAGATGGCATACATGACCCATCATTTTTCTGCTTTACATTAACTTTAATCATATATCTAAATGTCCCTAAAGGAGAGTTGCTTTCCTTAGGTTCTAGTTTTGGAAACAAGCTCGGTGATGCTATAAAAATTGACTCTAAAGATTGTGCCCATAAATGGCTTTTCACGTCAGGCACCCCTCATGAAGGAAGTGGTATATTAAGGATTAGGTCCACAAATATGTGCTCTTACCACATGCCAGGTACTCTGAATATATAGCAGTGAGTGAAACAAAAATCCCTATTCATGTGGAGCTTATAATGATCAATTTCTCTTATTTTTCCAAAATTATACTAACCTTTAGAAATAATTATATAAAGAGGGGAAAAAGAGCTCTAGTTCTACCTCCCAAAGGATAAGATTTTCTGTTACAGTATAGGCAGAATGAAAACATCAGGAGTAAACTTTCTTCGGAAGGGCTTTCTAGACTGTGTTGAATGTGCTACATGTAAAGTAATTGAGTTGGCTCTTGATTGAGCAGAGTTCAGACTCTTTTTGCTCTAGAGTTCCATAGCTTAGAAAAGAAAAGGAGAATGTCTTGTAGTTTTGTTACATGGTTAGAGAATGAGAGGTTATAATGTCAAGAGTAGCTTTCCAGGTACTAAAAAAATCTAACAGCTCCACCTTTTGGAGTCAGAGCAAGCTGAATGTTTTTCTTTCATCTTTAATATGGACTAGATTAGATTTTCAAGTTAATGAGGTGTTTACAAATGCCCATCACCTGAGCCTGTATACCAGCTTTTAACAGTAGACTGATGCAGGAATTTTTTTCTCCATGCAAATTATCCTATAACCATACATTGTAAAAATAGAAAGTAATAGGTGGGAAGAATGAAGATATAGTTCTAACAATATTACAGTTTTGAAGGAAAAATATATTTTGAGCTAAATGACTGAATAATTTGAATTTTGGAGATGATTATAGAAACCTTTAGTAGATGTATTCTCAGATAAGAAAGGAGTAATATTTATAACTAGATTTGTGTATTTCTTGTGAATACATTTGTATCTTTGCAGAGATTCAAATGGATTAAAAATGAAAGGATGAAAGAAGTTTATAAACACACTATATATATACTGTTGATAGACTGTAGGTTCACAGTAAGCAGTGTGCATGTAAGAAATAAGGCTTGTTATAAGGCCATATTCCTTTCTGTCTTTACAAAACAAACTATGGATTAAACAATCTACACTTAGTGATTTTGTTTTTTCTTTTTAAAATGTCTTTGCCCAATATATGTGCCCAGAAACATATGTAGTCTTTTTAAAAAAATTAAGCCAGACTTGACTTACTACTTTCATAGCCATAGGAAAAAAATGGGTCATAAAAATGAAATGACCCATTCACTTTCATGTTTAAGCATTCTAAAGAGCACTTAACTGTATGATGCATCACAAATTTCATTCCTGCTTTCTCGAATGGCTAAAAATAAAAAAAAAAAAAAACAAATTTCAAAATAAAAGTTAACTTTATGTTTATTTAAGGGACGAGGTAGATTTGCCTAACTACCTACCTTTGATAAATATATGGGAAATTAAAAATTGCTGGGCCCATTATCACCTAGAAGCCCTAGCTGTCTACTCATAAAGCTTAATGATGGTTACTAGCATCCAAGAGTACCTACAACTTTTGTAGGTCTCCCTTTTCACATAATTGACCAAATATTTATTTGCAATGTTTTGTTAATGTTGTTGTTGTCTTGATAGTAGAGGGCTTAGTTTTCCTACATATTCTCGAATAGCTGTAAGAAATTGATGGTACTGGCTGAACGATTTGTGCTGGAAGAGGTTAACACTTGGCTAACCAAATGTCCATATAACCTTCATAGGGCTTTTATCTACGGTCATGCTTACTGTGGGTGATTCCTTTTTCTGGAAGGAGAAGCAACAGAGATTTCTTTGTGGGAATACCTGTAACTATTCTATCACGTTATATTGGATTATGTCTTTATTTCCTTGCATGATTTAGGAGCTAATTTTTGCTTGCAAAGCATCCACCTTCCTGGTGGAAATGCAGGCCATGGCCTCAATCTTTCTGGCAGCCTGGCAATGTTGTCATTCCCTAAATATGTATATTATGTGCTTGCGCCCTGGTTTTTGGAAATTAGGAACAGCTATAAAGTAGGGTAATAGTAAAGGTTAATGCTGAGTAAACTCATATAGGAAATAAATTTTAAAAAATTTTTGTTCTGCAGTGTTCATCCCTGACTTCATGTGGATTCTACTTATAGATTGTGCAGATTAGTCAGCATGGACTTCAAGAACTAAGTAGTTTTTGTTTGTGTGTTAGAACAGTATGGGTTTGCTTTCTTTTGGGTCCTATTTAATAAACATATGTAAAACAGGTATTGCATTCCAAGTTCTACATATCTTTTTTCCTTCCTTGTAAAATAGTTCGGGTTCGGAGAAAATCAAGGCGGCGATCACAGTGGGGTAAAGGAATTATTAAGAAAAGGAAAGTCAATAATTTTAAAAAAGATGAAGAGGACACCAAATTTGCAGACTATGAGAACCATACGGAGGACAGGAAATTGCTAGAGAATGGAGAGTTTGAGGTAAGCACTGACTGCCATGAGGAAAATGGAGAAGAGACTGGAGACTTATCTATGACCAATGATGAGTCATCATGTGACATCATGGACATGGACCAGGGGCAGAGGCTTAACAGTGGAGCAGGTGCAAAAGAGAACTTTGCATCTACTGAGGAGGAAAGTTCAAATGAATCTCTACTCGTCAACAGCAGCAGTTCCCTAAATCCGGAACAGACATCTAGGAAAGAGCCTTTCCTTAAAGGAAACTGTCTAAATGGTGAGGCTTCCACTGACAGCTTTGAAGGAATATCAGTCCTGGAGTGTCAAAATGGCAAAGTTGAAGTAGTTTCTTTCTGTGATAGTGGAGATAAATGTAGTTCTGAACAAAAGACTCTTCTGGAGGACCAGTCAAAAGAAAAAACAGAAACTTCAAATGAAAATCATGGAGATGATCCTGAGAAACTAGAGGCACTGGAATGTAGCAATAATGAGAAGGTAGAACCGGGTCCCGATGTGGAGGTTAAAGATGCAGAACTGGATAAAGAAGGTAAAGCTAATATTTTAAAAAATCTTCTGAAGGCGTAAATTCCAGAGCTAATTCATTGCATATTTCATTTGGTTCCCAGTAGCAATAGTTGATGAATAATTATGCCCCTTTGAGAATCTATTAAAATTTTCATTCCTTTCCCTAGAAAAGTACACATAAACGTACTAAATTTTGCTGTAAGTTTCAGAGGGTTTATGGTCCCAAATGCATTGCTTTTCTTCCTGCTTACTCTTCTGGCTCCCACCTGATCACCCCTGTCCTCAGGGATTTATGACTGAAAGCTGAGTAAATCCCCAGGTGTTAAGAAGATGAATTCCAATGGAAGAATTATTGCAATGGACTGGGGGTGGACAGAGAAGACTTGGATATTATACCTTTGTGGCATATCAGAAAGAGTCATATACATCTAGATTAAGAGTCATATACATCTACTGCTGTTCATTATAATCATGTGACTTGAGCTAGATATTCTCTCCAAACTTATTTTTTTCATATAGGAAATTGAACTTCAGAATGGTGGTGTTTCAGGGATTAAATAACTCATGTATTTTAATTGCCTCTCTTGGTAACTGGCACATACTAAGGTATATTCATTCTAGGCAGTCATTGTTCCTTGAATCCAAGGGCTGTTGAGTCTAAGAGACTCCATTGCTTTGTAAGTCCAGTAGTAGAGGAAAGATTCAGAGCCTTCATTCTCAAGTTTACCTTGTTCTCAGAGAATGAGAGCACTCTGCCAGCTCTTCCTATGGCTCCATGATTCTTCTAAGAAGTAGCAGAAAGGGCGAGTTAAGGGTTTCAACCTGTCTTTGTTTATCACTATTCTTTAGGTCATAGTGAGATGGGGTGAGCTGATATCTACCCTGCTGAATATACATTTCCTTCATGGATAGGTACTTTTTTTATACTAGGTTATCTTGAAATTGTTTCGTCTTCTCTAAATTATGTGGAGTACACAGCTTTAGCCTGGGATTTGGACTACATGGGGAAAGTTTTTTTGCTGCCAGTTTCTTTTCTTTTTTTTTTTTTTTTTTTTTTTTTTTGAGACAGAGTCTCGCTTTGTTGCTCAGGCTAGAGTGAGTGCCATGGCGTCAGCCTAGCTCACAGCAACCTCAAACTCCTGGGCTCAAGCAATCCTGCTGCCTCAGCCTCCCAATGCTGCCAGTTTCTTAAGCCCTCTAGCAAAGTTAGCAAGTAGGAAAATATTATTCAAAGTCTAAGAATTCTTTTAATGGATAAAGAGAGGTTTGCTGTTCTTAGTTGCTACCTATTGAGAATTTTTTTTATTCCTCAATATTTAATAATAGTAAGTAGTTTTTAGAGCAGTATTTATTCTGGGCTATCAGAACTTTAAAGCTAGGGTTAAGTATGAACAAGACAGTGGAACAAAAGGAGAAATCTGGTATGAAGCAGAATGGGTGGGAGTAGAGGAGTCCATTTTAATGCTATTTATCTATGAGATTTCAGTAGGCTTGCAGAAAAGGCTAAATTATTATGATCAATTGGTGATCTAAAAGCTTTAAAGATATTTGTTGTATAAAAGTATGACATGAAGTTTTTAGCTGAAATTGTCAGGACAGTATTACCTAGTGCAGTGGTCCCCAATCTGAGTTTTCAGGCCTCTAGAAGTCCACGGATATAGTAATAAGGATCAGTATGGTTTTAACAAAACTCCTAGCACATATTAATTGAACCATAGAGACTTTCACTTTAAAGGCTCCCTGAAATATAAAATTTCTCTGATATGTCACAATATGTGGTATTGAAGACAACATTTTGGTTCTTTTACTGTTTATAAAGCAGGCATTGACGAGAAGAGTTTAAAGACTGGAAAGTATGAGGACTAATGCAGGAGTATACTAATGTAGGAGTGTCCCAATGCAGGGACACTCAGTGAATAAATTCTCCTTCGTGTCTCTCATATGGGCCAGGTGCTGCATGAAATTCTGAAATAGTCTAAGGTTGTCTTTATATTCCTTCACCCTCACTCACCTCCGTCCCTTAGAGTAGTTCTACCCTGGGAGACCATAGGGCTCAACGGGCCGGCATTTTGAGGGTCTCTATCCCTCAAAGTGCCTATGAAATTATGCTTACCTACCTCAAAATTACTGGTTTTTCATTGTGGCTGGCCCCAACAAAATAGAAAAGCAATTAGATTATACTACAATAATATTTTATATTTTTTTATTTATATTTATATGTTTTATTTATATTTATATATTAATATTTTTAAGAAGAAAACATTTAAACCCAGATCAATCTGTAATAGAATTTTAGTCATTATAACAGAGAAAATAAGAAATTTCAAGCAATGTTGAGAACGTTTTAGATTGGAATGCAAATGTGTAGACAGGCCCCACTTTGTGTTAGTATCTGCCTTTTTAGATTGCTTCTTTGCTTCCAGTTCTGAAAGCTCCAAATTTTAAAATATAGCTGTCATAAAGAGAGTGAAGGCTGTTTATAAGTCAGTGTTTAGTGAAGATTGCTTTTATCTTCCTTTTAGTGGATATGTTTATTAGGTGATATTCTAATCTGACTTGACTTTTTAGTTGTGGTTTAGTTCTTTTTAATTTGGGTTATTTATTCTTAACCCACCAAAAACATCATTTACCCACATTGGGTTACTTAAATAAAAAAACATTTATCACTTAAAGAATATACCCATCCTTATTCCAAATAGGATTTGTGGTGGGTGAAAGAATACATAATTGCATAAGGCTGACTTTTCTTAACTTTTACATGCTGCAGCATATTTTTTTCCCCTCAATTTTAGGTGGTTCTAAAGTGAAGAAATACCGTAAGTTAATTTTAGAGCAGGCAAAAACGACAAGCCTGGAACTGGTTCCAGAAGAGCCATCGGAGCCTGTGCCACCTCTTGTAGTTGATCGTGAGAGATTGAAGGTAAACTTACTTATTGCCAGTCAGTTTTTAATGAACGAGGGAGATTTTAATGTGTTTGTAGGCAGTTGAATAAAACTAGTTTTAGAAATCTCCTGCTTTAACCTAGGGATATAAGTGCCTCAGGGCTTCTAGTAAAAATGAGTTACTTGTGTTTTAAGGAGTTGAAAGTTATGGGATTGGTCTTGGTAATAAATAAGCCTTTGAACCTTTTAACCTCAGGTGTCGCTGTTACATCATAGCCTTATGGTGCCTGATATATGGCCATTTGAATATAACTGTTTCAATGTCACCAGCAAAATCAAATTACATCTTTATTCTCTTCTAATTTTTCTTAGAAATTGCTTGATTTATTGGTAGATAAAAGCAACAATCTGGCAGTTGATCAACTTGAGAGATTATATTCTCTTCTTAGTCAGTGCATCTACCGTCATCGTAAAGATTATGACAAATCGCAACTTATAGAGGTAAGTGCTTAGTTTATCTATAGGATGAACAGACATGTGCTTTTACTTTTCCCAAAGAAAATAGAAAAAAAGTTAATTTGCCTAAATCTATATCTTCTACCAGGTAACTAAAGAGTGTTTTGAAGATTTAAGATTAGAAGAATAATTAAGAGTATAGTTTAAAGTTTCTGTACCCTTTTGTCTCAGGAAAGAAGTAATCTGGGGTTCCTTGTTTATCAAAACACAGAAATCCATGGTTCTGGGTTGGCATATACATAGAATAGTGTGTAACAACTCTCCTCCCTTATTACTGACATGCTGACTGAACATATCACTCAGACTTGTTGGATGTGGGAATGGCCCCACAATCGTTAACACTGCTTCCTAGGCAGCCACTGCTGATTAAAGGAGTTGGCATGGGCAGTAAGACCTATTTACCACCCATTAATACTTGGAAGAGAACTCAAAAGTCATCTAACTTAATCAAATCTGGTCTTATAAATTAGCTGCATGAAGGAGTGGTTGTCCTTTTGCTTGGATTCTTTTAGAAATGAAACAAGCATTCTCTTTCTAGCCAACATTGGACCATAGAGAAGTTTTTGCCCTATAAATATGAGTTCATGTCTCTGTTCATGTAATTTATGTCATTAAGCCAGACTTCTGCTTCTTTAAGTCATCTGAGCAAATATAATCCCTCATCTACCCACTAAATGGCTAAATGACTTAGTTAGACTCTTTGTCCATTTGCCTGTTAGTTTGTTTATCTGGTGGTTTATCTATTAAATATTTATTGAGTACCTTCAGTGCCATATACTGTACTAGGTGATTGGAATGTATAAAATGAATAAGACAAAGTTCTTGCTCTCAAGGAATATTACTAGTATATTAAAGATTTGTATGTAGAGGATATAGTTATTTTCATGTGTAATAAGGAATATGGGATTTGAATCAAAGCAAGAGAACATTTAAAAATTATTTTGCAATCACATTTTTACAAGTTACATTTTTTTTTTTTTGAGACAGAGTCTCACTCTGTTGCCCGGGCTAGAGTGCCATGGCGTCAGCCTAGCTCACCGCAACCTCAAACTCCTGGGCTCAAGCGATCCTCCTGCCTCAGCCTCCTGAGTAGCTGGGACTACAGTCATGTGCCACCATGCCCAGCTAATTTTTTCTTTTTCTTTTCTTTTTTTTTTAGTTGTTTGGCTAATTTTTTTCTATTTATAGTAGAGATGGGGCTCTCTTGCTCAGGCTGGTCTTGAACTCCTGAGCTCAAGCAATCCTCCCACCTCAGCCTCCCAGAGTGCTAGGACAAGTTACACTTTTACAAAGCTGTACTAAGTCATTATAATACATAGAAAGTACAGGAAAGCACAATGAGAAAATAAAACATCACCCATCTTCCACCATCTAGAGGAAACTAGTCAATGTTAATCTTTTGGAATGTCTTCCAATCTTTTAAAATGTCTAGATGTATATAACATATCTATAAGTGTGTGATTATATATTTAAAAGTTGGGGTCATATTGTATATTTTGTAACTTGATTTTTTCTACTCAGCAATATATGATAAAACATTTAGCAGAAGTGATTTTGATTGATCATTTAAGAACTTTGTTAGTACAGCCTATTAGTTCTATAGAGACATAGAATTTCTTTGGAGCTATTTAAAGGGAGTAAAGAAAAGCAAATGTCTTAGATGTATCTGACATTTGACCATCTGAATGAAATGTGTAGGTAGAGTTCTTTACTTTTTTATTCAAGAATTTCTTTGTTGACATGATTGTGATTTCATTAGCTTAAATGGATTGAATACTCTTCAGCTGTGAAACATCTCTTAGAATGGAACTTGAACCCTGGTAATCTAGGGGTCCAGTTTAGGGAGGGAGGGGATTGATAGCAGAATCAGCAGTAAGTGGCTTTTCTGGTGGTGGTGAAGGCAGCCACCCATTCTGGCTTTTTTTCTGGTGGAAGTGAATAGAAATGGGCACAGGGTGCATTCTGGTTTTTGGCATTAGCTTCATTACACTGAATGCATTCATTTTGCTTTGGGAATTAGTGGAATATAATGAGTAAGGAAAGGCTCAGGCTCTGGAGTGAGGCTGTGTACATTCAAATCTTGACTGCCATTTATTAGCTGTCAAATTATTTATCCTCTCTGTGCCTCAGTTTCTTTATCTGTAAAATGGGGCCACAGTAATACCCATCTTCAACTGAACTTCAGCGTTATTGTGGGAATTAATTTAAAGTATTTACTTATACATTTTATATGTATACATTTCTTAGTCCAATATCTGACATAATAAATTACTCATATTACTGACATAAATTACTCATTGAGTGTTACCATCATACTCATATTCATAGTACTCATACTCATCCATCATAGATTACTGGCATAATAAGTTACTTACTGAGTGTTACTATCATCCTCCTCCTCATTAGCCTACATTTAAAATAGGAAGTACTTGGAAGTGTCTAGGGCATATAGTCTTACAGAATAGCTATGGTATTATAATTATGAAAATATTAAAAGTTTAACCTGTATCTCAAATTATGTCCTAAAAATTTAAAGTGAATTCTTTCATAATGAGCATAATGAGGAATACCCTTGTCTTTCCCTTAATAGATAACATGCATTTTTTTTCCCCCTTATAGGAGATGGAAAGAACAGTTCATATGTTTGAGACATTCCTATGAACTTTTCAAGATGAGTGGTTTATCCTCTCCAATCTGCTCCTGACAGAGCAGCCTTCTGAGCCATTCGATTTCAAATTGCACCAATTATGCGCAGAGCCTTGGTGTAAAGTGCTCTCTCACTCATTCTTTCTCTCTGTTGAATTTGGTGCTATTGTCTCAGGTACCTGAAACCAACCAGCCTACAAGAACCAAACAGAACTTCAGAAACATGTTGTATTTTCCACAAATAAAAAATACAACCCCACAGCTTGGAGATTTTGGTGCTACAGAAACTGCTCTTGCTTCTGCTCCTCTTTTTCGTGCACTCTCTTTTGGAGACTCCTTTCTTAGGGAGCAGACCAGCAAACAGGAGGAAACTGGATTGGGGCAGTTCTAACTGTGTTGAATTGTTTAAACAGTGGGCAACCTGTCGTTATTTTTTTTCTTTCTCTTCTCTACCCTCCTATCATATTCCCCCTGCCCCTCCAATCTGGGTAATGGACTGAAACCTTTTTAGAGTTGGCCATGGAATATTCTGGTGAGAAGCTAAAGAAACTGGATGAAATTAGATTAGGCTCTTTAGAACTGCCTTTAATGTGCCTTTTTATTCATTTGAGAAAGATAAGGCTAAATGGATGGGCTTGTTTGTAGCAAATAAATTAGAATACTTTCTTTGGTCACAACCTTGAAAATAAGTTTTCATATTCTGTGTCATTAAGAGACAACAAGTGTTTTGGTATTAAATGCCTGTCTCATTCTCAAAGGTCAATCAAGACACTCAGTAAGCCACATAATATACTAAAGTTTTCCTGTAAGGTCTGTTTCAGTTTAAGAAATGTAATCAAACAACAACAAATAATACATGGCCTACAAAAAAACCCCACATACTCTTTGGTATTACTGACAATGATGACCAGAAAATAAATAGTGGCCATTTTTTCTTTTGTCAGTGGCAATTTAATAGTTATTCATGTTTGAGTTCCCAGAGAAAAATGATTTTCATATGTAGTAAATCGTTACTGTTTTATTTTAAAGCCAAAACTTGCCAAATGGACAGAAAAGAGAGGAATTTGTCAGAAGCTCCATGGAATTCATTTTTTGTATGCATAATTGCAAGTGAGCTCTGATATTGTCCTTGAATAACAGTATTAATGTTTAAATCCCTTCCCTTAAGCTTACCTTCACAACTCTTTATTTTGATTGGAGCACATTTTGGATCTTGTTGAGTGATTTCTGTGAATTGTACTTATCTGAAATTAATTATGGGTTACTAGTTTTACAAAAACTTTCTACAAATTTGGAGACACAGTCTAGGCAGTTGCAAAGAGGCAGTGGGAGTGCAGTGACATTTTTTATCAGATGATTTTTAAACAAAAAGGTAGAAAATTTTGCCAACAAGTTAGCTTAATATCTTCATTCATTATAGCCGTTAGCTGCAGGTGTGTCTTTCCAATATATGCAACACATGTAGTTTGGGTTTTAATTAGGGCAAATGGTCTTGGTCTTGGACTACTGCAGAGATACTGAGCTACCTCAGCTTTTTGTATTTTAGTTACCAACAGCGTTTACAGAGTCCTGTAATCACTTTGCCACCGTTTACATGCTGAAGCTAAGGTACTTGTCTCCTTGTCTCTGGCTATTTGTAGTGTGCAGAAAGCATACCATGGCCATAGGATACTGCAGTAATCCAAAGTGCTTCTTTGCATTTACATTTACATCTAGCGCCTTCTAATTCTAGTGTAATTTTTTTTAATGCCACTTGTTTTCTTTATACCTACTCTATGAAGTTTTCATAATATTCAGTCATGTAATTCAAGATGCTACCCATGTAGACACACTGTATTTTTAAGGTGGGCAAGTGCGATTAACGATGAACCATTTTAAAGGGGAGGTTATTTGAAACCTCTAATTTGATTATTGGGAGGATTTTCATGCTTTCTTTAGTATTTATTACCATCATACCAGTTCAAACTATTTTACTGTCTAATACATTAGCATTTTGTATTTTGATGGAAATTGTTACAGAATTTAAAGATTTGATGAAATAAGATGTAGCAGATTTTTTGTAGCAAGTTTCTGGTAAAAGGGTTTTTTGCAAGTCTCAGGTTCTTGCTGCACTATTTTTTTTTAAATATTTATTCCAGTTACTCTAATTCAGAAGCATTCTGTTCAAGTAACAGCAGCACTTGTGAAAGGAAAAAAAAAACAAAAAAACGCACATGTTCTTAGTAGGTTACTAAATTTGTACAAGTTAATTAAGATTTTAGCCATCAGTAAGTTTGACAAGGGAAATTTATTTATGTTCAGCGTTAAAATGCTTCCAAAAGATCAAGTTTCATTTGTTTTTGTTATTTTTAACTTTAATGTAGATGGAGAAATTGGAGGCAACCTCAGTATAGGAACTGCCACTTTGAACAGTTTAGGTCTTAAAGAGAAAGCCAATCTAATGCCAAGGGGAAAAAAATGAGCTGAAATTGTACCATCTCCTCTGGCCCTCTTTTCCTCAAAAAAGAAACACTATACCAGTTTTGCTTATTTTACAGATATCTGGTGGTTCTATAGTTTAAAGCAGCTTGTGAAATTATCTAAGTGGACTCAAATTTTGTTTACCTTTCTGTAAGTTCTTAATTTTTGCTGTATAGCATTGGCAAAAATTTGTACAAATTGACCTCTGTTCTTATTTCCTATTGTGAGCATTATAAATGATGAGCTCCTATGTAAAACCTTACTCTCAGATCAGTAAAATGTGTATCACAGCACAGCCCAGCAATAGTTCGTGCTCAGCTGTGGGAATCCTGGGAGCTTTTTGAAGATGATGGAACCACACTAGGGTTGAAACTGATGGCTGTGGAGTTAATTGTGTTTTCGAGCTTGAATCTCACCTGTGATTTTTTTTTAAATGTCCTTTCATGACTTGATTTTTCTCATAAGCCAATGTATTTGTAGATTTACTGGATTTTATTTTTAGGGAGTGGGGTGGTAATTTCTTCCCTTTTTTGATTAAGTTGGTTCAGCTATGGTGCTATTCAGTAGGTATCTTCAGTGTCAGGTCCCGTAGCTGAATGCCATTGTTATTATAATTATTATTTGTAATCACATTGTAAGCTTGAATTTGAGCTTGTACCTGCATCTTTTGTATTTTGTACATCTGGTTACTTAGACTTTGGGAGTCCTATTTGGTTTCAGTCATGTGTCTACTTTGTAGATTAAGTAGACTTCATCAACTATGGTCTATTTTGGGTTTGTAGTTTAATTTAGAATTGTGTTAAATTGATGTTTTGCATTTGACTTCATTTTACATTAGTTTGAAGTAAATTATTTAATTTTTGAATTCTGGAATTTGAACATTTACTGTAATTTGTAATATAACTGCTGTGAAATACTTGAATAAAGATGACAAGAAAAACATGTCTTTCTTTAGCTTAATTATGATCATTGTTGGGTACAAATGCAGTGCTAGTTTTCTAGCTGATTTTATCTATTTTACAGATAGGGCATATTGCTGTTTATTAAGCAGCCAAGAAGTCTTGTTATATGTTTGTTTTAAATTTTAAGTACACCTTAGGATTTTTTAGCTGAAAGCTTTTTCTATTGAAGTTTGGTTTTAGTTGAAGATTATCTAAAATATATTGTATAGAAGGGATGGTTACTTCTAAAATTTGTTTTTCTTACTGGAAGACTATGGCACTGTATATGATCAGGTAGTATGGCTCACTTGTTTATAATGTTTTCCCTTTTATTGAGTTGTTATGAACATACTTTATACAGTACAGTACATAATATGGAGAGAGATTTCATACCAGAATTTTGAAGGGTTTGCTTCAAGTGAATAGAATGTTACTGGCTTTAGAATGCCTATTCTGCTATCTGCCTTGAGATACCCTTTTTGTTGTTGTTTATGTTTATATTTTTTATTTTGAAATTTTTACTTTTGATTGTCTATATCAAAGGATTGGTAATAGTATACCTGCAAAATGGATTTTTAAAACTATCTGAATATTTTAGATAAAGAGCTTGTGATTGTATTTGAGGCTCAGTGAAGTTTTTAGGATCCTGAAGTTGAATTTTATTTATCCAGTTTTAGTTTCTGTAACACTCAAAACTATAGTAAAATCAAAGGCCAATCTTCAAACATCTGTTTCATGTTATTCTTACACCCTGAGATCTACTAAGTTATCTTTTGGCTATTTTTTAAAATATAAATTCCCTCTCTTTCCCCTACATTCATGTGTTTATTATGTCTCTGACATCTGCTAGGTACAGATGATACATTCCTTGTCCTTAAGTCGCTTACAGTCTGCTAGAGGAGTTTGGTGCATAAAACCAGTAGTAATGAGTCAGTGGGTTAAGTGCTTTAACAGAAGGTGCACAGTGTTGTTCAGAGTTCCGAGAAGGGAACAAATTAATTCTGTTTAGGAATAGGGGAAAGTAAGGAAGGGCTTCAGAGAGTTGGCATTATATTTGCTCTTTGCCTTTAGCAGGCTTTTCTAGAGTCTAGCCCCACTTTACCAAATTTTTTTCTTGGTTTCTTATGATCTTTCATATTACATCATATCAGTTGTATTGGTAAAGAATCTAAACCCAGCCCATATTTCAGGTTACACACATACACACGCATGCACACATGCATGCACACACACACAACTTATGCTGATCCTTCTTCAGAACTTAGTTGTATTTTGTACTGCATAACATAGTATGTTAGTGGCTGGTCCGAAGGTAGTGAGTTATCTCACGTGATTGTTCACAGTCAGTTACAGATTGAACTCCTTGTTCTACTACTTTCCCCCCTCCTCACTACTGCACTTGACTAGTCTTAAAAAAAAAAAAAAAAAAAAACATAGTATGTTAGTGCATAGTATGTTACTGTGTACTGTATAACATAGTATGTTACTGCATAACAGTATGTTACTAATATTATGCAAAACTTAGTAATTTATTCATATGGGAAGAGCAGATAAAGTATCATATTTCGTCTGTATTCCCTATAGAAATTTAAAACAATGCTGGGTACATAGTAGATGCTTATTTAATTATTTTTGATTTGCTTGACATGGAAAGCTCCAATTTACTTATTCTTTCATTCATTTGCCAAATATGTAATGAGTGCCTACCATGTACCAGGCACCATTGCAGGTGCTGGAACAGCAGACTACACAGAAAAATCCCTGTCTTCATGGAGCTTAAATTCTTTTAGATGTTATGTGCCAGATTTCCATTGTGGTTGATCAGAGTTCAAGTTATTTTTTCAAAAGTGTGGATGGCCAGGTGCAGTGGTTCACACCTATAATCCTAGCACTTTGAGAGACTGAGGCAAGAGAATCTTGAGGTCAGGAGTTCATGACCAGCCTGAGCAAGAATGAGACCTGATCTCTACCAAAAATAGAAAAAATTAGCTAAGCGTGTTGGGGCACACCTGTAGTCCCAGCTACTCAGGAGGCTGAGGTAGGAGGATTGCTTGAGTCTAGGAATTGGAGGTTGTAGTGAGCTACTATGACACCATGGCACTCTAGCCCAGGCGACAGGGTGAGACCTTGTCTCAAAGAAAAAAAAAAAGGGTGGTGCCTCTTAAAAGCTCTTAAAGAGCTTTTAAAGTTCTTTTAAGCAGTGAATGAAACATTTTGTTGTTAAAAATTTGCTAAGAACACTCCTTTTTCCTCCTTACTTTCCTTATATTCCTCATCTTGGTGAGAAACTTAGCTGTCATCATGAATTTTACCTTCTTTATGGCCCATCTCATTCTAATCACGCAGCATTATTCAGTTGATTTCCACCCCTGCCCAAGCATGTCTCACATCCATCACCCTTTCCCTATCTTTATTGCTGCTAACTTAGTTTGAGTACTAATCCTTTTGTTTGGACTAGTGTAATAGCTTTCAGTTCAGTGAACATTTAAACATTAAGAACATCATCAACTCTGGAGCCTACAGAGTGCTATGCATTGAGGGAATATGAAAGTGAGCAAGATGTTGTGTCTGTCTGCAAGGAGATTTTATGTTGTTGTTGAGATGGAGTTTTACTATTGCCCAGGCTGGTCTTGAACTCCTCACCTCAAGTGATCCCCCTCCCTCAGCCCCCCAAGGTGCTGGGGTTATGGGCATGAGCCACTGTGCCAGCCTCAAGGAGATTTTTATAACATAATTTAACATGTTAATGCTTATATCACATCCACCACGTGTTAGAGACTTTTCTGAGTGCTATACAGATACAAATTCTTTTCATCCTATGAGGACCTTATGATATAGGTGCTGTTATTATCCCCATTTTATAGACCAGGAAACTGAGACATGGATTAATTTGCATAAGGTCACACAGCCAGGATTCAGATGTAGGCAGTTTGGTTCCAGAGTTGATGTTCTTTTTTTGTTTTGAGACAGAATCTCACTGTTGCCTGGGCTTAGAGTGCTGTAGCGTCAGCCTAGCTCACAACAACTTCAAACTCCTGGGCTCAAGCCATCCTGCCTCAGCCGCCTGAGTAGCTGGGACTACAGGCATGTGCCACCATGCCCGGCTAATTTTATATATATTAGTTGGCCAATTAATTTCTATTTATAGTAGAGACAGGGTCTCACTCTTGCTCAGGCTGGTTTTGAACTCCTGACCTTGAGCAATCCGCCCACCTCTGCCTCCCAGAGTGCTAGGATTACAGGCGTGAGCCACCGCGCCTGGCCCAGAGTTGATGTTCTTAATCGCTGTGCTTGACTGCTTCTTGTGGGGATAGAAAGACACATGTGGATATATGTTCATATAATATGGCATGTGTTAGGATTGCGTTATGCACCAGGCACTGTGGTGCACAGAGGACATGTGGCCCACCTCAAGGAAGCCTTTATGGGAAACCTGATGCCTGAGCTGAGGCATCAAGAGGGGAAAGGCCTTCCAGGCAGACGGACCAATAAAAGCCTAGAGTGAGAAGTGAAATAGCATGACAGCTGCAGGGGAAAGTACAAGCAGTTCTCTAGCACCACAGGTCAACATTTATTTAACAAATTTATTTGAGCGATTGCCATTTGTCAAGCACAGTTCTTGGCACTGAAGTTATAGCTGAGGACAGGACAGCAAGGTCCTTGTTTTTTTGGCACAATCTAGTGGGCAAAGAGTAAACAAGATGTTATCTAATGCTTGGATGGCAATAAACACAGTAGTAGTAATAGTAGGAAATGTCTGAGTGCCAGGTACTATTTTTAACAGAAGGGGAAACTGAAGAATAGAATGGTTAAGCAGCCTGCCCAAGGTTGCACAGCTAATGTCAGCTGGGATCCTATCTTCTGGTGTGGCTTTCAGAGCTTGGATTTTGTGTGTTTTGTTTTGTTTTAGACTAGTCAAGTGCAGTAGTGAAAAGGGGGGAGGGAGAGTAGAACAAGGAGTTCAATCTGTAACTGACTGTGAACAATCAAGTGAGATAACTCACTGCCTTTGTACCAGCCTAGAGAGCTTGGATTCTTAGCTGACTTACTGTGTTTCCCCGAAAATAAGACAGGGTCTTGTATTTATTTTTCCTCAAGAAGACACCCTAGGGCTTATTTTCAGGGGATGTCTTATTTTTTTTTAAGTATGGTACTACAACAATCTACATTTTATTCAAATATAGTTAAGTCCTCTTCTTCTGGAACATCATCATCACTCTCCAAACCTCGAATTCCATCTTGAATTTCTTGCGACTCTATTTCCTTTAGAAGGAAATTGGCCCCAATCGAGCAATAGAGCTCTCATGGGGCAGATGAGAAGGGCTGCTTGTCTTCTTTACCACTCTGTGACGAAATGCATGGGTTGTGCAGACACGCTGCATAGCCACGCCCATCACTAGGTCTTATTTTCGGGGTAGGGCTTCTATTGCAAAAATGCTTAGGATTCTGCCAGGGCTTATTTTATGGGTAGGTCTTATTTTCGGGGAAACACAGTATCATGAAGGTGAATGATAAATTCTTTTGCCTTTATTCAAGGTTTTTTTTTTTCTATTAATAAACATTTTTAAATGGTAGAATACTACAGAGAATAATATAATGTGTATGTTCCCAGCATCCATTATTAAATGTTAACAGTTTGTTATATTTTAGTTCAGAAAGAAAAAAAATTATAAATAAGGTTTAAGTCCACTTTCTACGCTTTCCCAATCCCATTCCTTTTCTTTACCACTGGCAGCCACTCTGATGACTTCATGGAGTATTCTTCTGCTTTGTTTTTCATGCTTTCTCTTGAGCCAGACTTCCTGAGTTTGACTCTTAGTTATGTCCCTTCCTGGCTGTGTGACATATGGCAAGTCATCTGACCCTTCTGCGAGTCAGTTTACTTACCTGTGAGGGGGGGGTACTGATAGCACCAAGCCCACAGAGGTAATGGCATATTTGAGTGAATATGTATGAGTACCAGGCACATAAGTCAGTGTTTAACAAATTTCACTCATCACT